AAGACAGCAGCCTTTTCTCTAGAAGTTTCCTGGAGTCCAGTCACGCTCCATGGTCACATCTGATCATGGCTGCGACGGTACAATAAAACTGTATGGTTTGGTTTTGAGCTTTTTAGAGAAAGCTCCAGCTATTCAAGAAGCCAGTGTGTGCAACATTGCAGATAGAAATCCTGTATCTGACTATTCGATGCTCCCAGTTTCCTCTCTTCCCACTTTGGTGATCTATTTCTGCTATGATATTGGCACTGAAGGAAAACAGTCTGGGCCACAGCAACTATCAGAGAACCACACCATTGCTGTTTGCAGTCAGGGCCTGTAGCTGTTCCCAGGGCTGACTGTGTGTGTCTTGATCTGGCTCATAGAGGCTGTGCTGGCCACATAGGTAGGTATATTGTCACTTTCATTTTTATTTGTTAGTCATATGTCTGGCAGCTGGATATGCCTTAGACAGCAAGTGAGTGTGTCTTGTCTCACTCATTCAAGAGCAATGGCATCCAAAATTGCACTACAGAATCAGTGATGAATTGTTCCTAAGACATCCCAGAAAACATTTTTGTTACAGTGTGTTACTGAAGAAAGAACACAGAACATCTGGCCCAAGTCAAGAAGGGAGCTGTTTTCCTTCACATCTTACTGTCATGAGGCGTAATGTTTCCCTGCATAAAACCACTCGTATATAATTTGATAAGAGCCAAGAAATTATTTTTTCTTCTTGAGAGAACTCACATGCTTCAAAATACCAAAATCAGGTAGGTTTTAAGCATTGGTGAGTATTATAGTTATAAACTGGCCCTGTGCTGTGTGTATCTTATGGCCCCGGTTATTACTCCTTCCTTAATATTTGCTTTAAATTAGGTTTAACAATGTATTTCACATGGAGAATTTACATGACTGTCACTTTTCATGGACAGAAAGTCGACGAAAAATATGAACTAAAAGCAAAACAATATTCATTCTAGTTAAGTCCAGTTGCAAGCTAAAGCTCACTCCAAAGCCTGTTGTTCACTCTTGGTTACGCAGGGATAGCAGCAGGTTCAGGAAACTATTGATGACCAAGTGCAGAGTAGAGTCACAGTTCAGAAAGACAGAGAAGGCACACATTCCCTCCATACCACTTGCTATTCCTGGGGGCCACAATTTCCCTAGGTCACCCGAACCATTCCCATTCCATGTAAGGTGCTACACATCCCACGTGGAGGCAATACCGTCACGGGTTATGGTGCATTAAGAAAATAAGCACTTGGCAATAAAGAGGATTGTTGACAAGTTCTAACTCATAGCTGCATTCAGCATGGGCATAAAGACATGGGCAATCCATTCAGCATCCCCAGCAGACTTCACAAGTCTTACCAGAAGTGTATTTCCCAAACTAATTACACACTGATTAAAATACTGTCTACAGTTACCATTCCTTTTATTTTCATTTGAATGCTGCCTGTACTTCTCCCTCTTGTCTACAGTGACCGTCCCTTTTTGACTAAGCATGACTGGGTGACAGCATCTCACTCTATCAATTTCCTGAAGTGGCTAAGAATGCAACAATTCCAACACTTCTCATCAAATGAGAGCATTTTCTCTTCTAGTCACCATGTCGTCTGCTTTCAGAGGACTCACGAGAGCACACGATGAAGTCTGGGGGGGGGGGTGCTTCTCCTGCTCCTGAGTTGACTCATATCTATCAATAGCAGGCTTGGGGCTGACATTTCATATCGGTGGCGCTCTGCAGCCGTGGCGGCTTTGTGTGTCTGCCCACCTCCCTGCCCTTTCGGGAATCCGGTTTTATACTACTCCTAACTTCAGTAAGAGAAAGGCGGTACAACAGTGGCCATTCTCTCCCCCAAGTTTGTCGAATTTAAAAAAAGAAAGCTCTTATTTCTTTTGCTGTGGGGAGGCATGGTGCAGAGTAAGCCAGAACTAAAAATAAACTGGGTTTTCTCTTTTATTTATACGTAATTAGAGCCCCTTTGTAACTAGCCATTACTACCCCAATGGTTATTGGATGAATACACAATATATATTTTTAGATGTGGCAAAAGCCAAAAAAGAAGTAGTCAGCCCGCATCTAATTTATCCAGTTGATGATTAAAAGGCTGGCCTGAGAAGCTCCAGATATCTAGGGACCCAGAGATAAAACAGTGGCTACTTGTGTATTTTACTAATGAATCCAGGGCTTGAAAAATATTAGGCCTTTTCAAAGAAAAGAAGCAAGGCAAGAGACATTAGACAAGGCCAGTAGGGTAATGAGGAGCAAGGCCACCGTCACTGAGAGAGAAGATTACTTCATTTTCTACGATAGCGTGTCCTTAGGCCTCACAGGCTTCCTCTCACGTTTCGTCAGTGTGATGGCATATCTATCTACACAGCATCTGAATGCTACTTACAGTACAGAAGGAAAGAGCCTTGGAACATTCCATGGGGGGGTTGGGGGTGGGCAGAGGGCTTGGGTCTACTATTTTGAAAGGGGAGGCTAAGAGCAATGGCAGCAGAAGGGGGGTTAGACCGCAAGGTGAGGACAGTGCTGTGACAGAGGAGCGGGTGCATGGGGTTAAACCAAGACCAATGGCATGACAAGGAACAGAAAGACAAAGCAGCAAACATACTCTGGAAATGTGCTCTGGAGGGCGGAATGAACAAAGAAGGGGCCCGGCCCAGGGTCAGTCAGTGACTGTGTGAGCAGGGCTCACACTGCTCACTGGCGCTTTTTCACTAGCTCCAATAAAAGGGCACTGGGTGCTTAACTCCTCCTCAGAAGCTGGTCAGTGAAGAAATGCGAGGCATCTTAGAAACAATTCCAGAGTATCTTTGGCTCTGAAAGCTGGAGCACACGTGTGTCGCATTCCCGTTAGACAGTCCGGCCCAGTGAAAGAGCAACCGCAGAGGCCCCAGGAAACCCAGACAAATCCAGCATCCCAGCAGATGCCGAACACAAAGATGCGAAGTCATTAAAACACTAACACCAGGAGAGGAAAGGAAGCCAGGAGACCACAGGTTGGGTCAGGTTGAGGGACGTCATAGTGAGTAAGAAAAGGAACAGAACTTTTTCAACAGAGAAACATCATCACCAAGTCATACCACACAGCGCTTGGCAAAACAAAACGAAAGTTGGAAACGAATCATGGACAGTGAACAGAATGATCATTCAGAGAAAGGGAGAATCAAAAAAATCATAAGAATCATGGTACAGGAAACATTAAGCTCTGTCATTTTCAGTTTCTGCATAACAACTCATTGGCATTGCCCCGTCAATCTTATATACCGCAGTTGTCCAAAAATCAAACTCATACTTGACGGGGCAAGGCAAGGAGGCTGATCATAGCACAAGGACAGCAACTGTGTTACACACCCATGCAGTCACCTCTGCCACCATCGCCTGACACTATGCACTCTGCTTCCAGCTTTGTCAGCGTTCATAACAAGGCTTGGGAGAGGGAACGATGCCGAATCTTAAAACAGCCTCTCAAAGGGCTAATCAGACTCCTTGAGAGCCTTCATCCCTTAGGGAAGTTGACGAATGGAGAAAACCCATGCTGCCCCCTCTCAGTTAAGAGCAGAGAAAATGACTGCAACCCATGCCTGACCAGAAAGACTTTTTTCTCCCCAGGCAAAAACAAAGGGATTAAAAAAAAAAAACTAAGTTGTCCTTACTTGAGAATACAGTCAGGGATGACATATGTATCTGAGGTCTGAAGCCACACACAAATAACAGCACATGCTGGGACTTGTGGCCTGTCGGGCAGTTTCCCCTTTAGTGAATGCTTTCTTAGGCTGGTAAGAACAGATCCCTCTAGTTTCAAGAAACCGATGAGACAAAACTAGCTTTGTTCTTCTTAAAATAGATTTGGAGCAGGACATATGAAGTCCATAGAAGAATAATAAAATTGGCAAAGAGGGCACACAGAAGAACAGGATAAAAGGGCCATCTTTACCATTTAGACTCGGGAACTGGGACAAGAGAGTGCATGGAGCTCACAGGCCAAAAGCAGATTAAATATATAAATTTAATCAGCATGGGAGTCTATCCAGAAAGGAGTCCACCCAAGGAGGAAAATATGAATGCTTAAAACTCCAGGAGAAGGCATGACAGATTGTCCTCCAAGGGTCCCCTGGGATGCCTGACCCTCAAAACTCCAGCCGCAACTTGGATGGAAACCTTGAGATCATACAGAAGCAAACAGCTCCGAATGGGGGAGATGGCTCAGCAACATAACTGGGCGTCTGAGCTTTGATTTCCAAGGCTGTTTGGGGGCTAAGTAGAGGCCTTTCTGACTGCAGCTGCAGCTGAAGTAGGATGTGTTACTAGAAGCAGTAAACAGTTAGGAAAGGCATGACATTTCCTGTCTGGAGGCCAGCACAGAAAGCAAAGGAGAATTTAGGACAGCTCACAGTAGAGTCCCTTTCATTTAGTGAGGCTTCCTTTCCATTGCAAATGCATAGTGATTCTGCTTGATTAAATAACATATTTTTGTTTCAGCTCTTGTCCTCCAAGCGAGAGTCTGAGGGCCACAGGCCTATTCAGATTCTGCCCCACGAGAGAGGGGGCGATGCTAGCAGGAGGGAAAAGACTTCGCCGTTATTCCTCAAGTCACTGACTAGCAGGCTTTTTATTACCACAGCTTTTCCTTGCCAAAGACAGTGGCACAGCATTCCAACCCATTACGGTATGGAAGGGGTCTAAAAACTCATAGCATCACACTAGGAGGAGTTCAGAGGAGTGGGAGGGGATCTGAGGAGCAAGAATTCACTCTGGACCACCCTAAGCCTCTTCTGGAGAGAGGAAGCCCCGAGGATGTGCTATTTGTTTTGTGTGGTTTCTCCTGGGTCAGAGGACAACTGGAGATCAAGGGCTGGGTTGCAGTCTTTTCTGAGATGCTTTTAACCAAGGTGCACAGGATGTTCCTAACACTGTTAGGATTCAGCTGGAAGCAGGTACACAGTCCTCCCCTTTCCCCTGCCCTTCTCCGCCCCCCCCCCCAGAGGAAGAGGCACTTCCAAGGCCTTACCCTTCTTGTCCTGGTGGTTATGTGAGGACACTGCCCCCAAAGGGTCTGTGCTGTCGGGTGCCTCGAGCAGGTCGTTCCAGTCCAGCATGCCTCCCCTAGACTCATACCCCTCTCGGGATGCCGAATCTGACGTGCTGGTGCTGGGCAAGAGGGAACTGGAGTGGCCTGTTTTCATCACAAATACAGTTAGGGAAACATCACCGCATACTGCATTCCCTTTGCTCAGAGGCCAGGAGACAGGACACCCATGATGACCTCGAGACCGAGGGTATGCCCTAGCTTGCAGGTAGGGGTGGGTGGCTCTGTGCTTGGCAGAAGATCATCTGGATATGTGGTTAAAGGACAAAAGGCCAGAGACTGTCCCGGCCACAAGTTGGGTGAGCCTTGGAAATAACTGACCGTGTCCTTTGTCACACCATAGGGACAGTGACCCCTCCCAGCCTCGGGAAGATAAAATGGTACAGTGCCTGTTCCACAGATGCTCAGGAATACTAGTGTCCTTCCCTAGAGCACTTCCCATGTAGCATGAAAGATACTCCAGAAACGTGGTTTGTGACTGATGGGACATCAATGGCAGTGTGTGGCCTCTCCCATCACAAATAACACGGTCAGTCTCAAACCAGTCCCGGCAAGGCTCCATCCACAGTGCGTCTGTCTAGTGTTCAGGGTCAGCTCAGCCTCATGGGCGGTCCCCATTCTGGGAGACGCCTTCTTTCCCAAGGATCCACCCCCACCTCTTCGGCATGGGAGCCTCCTCCGCTGCCTGTCCCTATGGATGCACCGTGTGTGTCGAAAGCTGGTTTCTGAGTTTTATAACTCAAATTTATGAGGCACTGCTTTTGTGGCCTCATTGACGGAGATGGTTAAACTAGAAAAAGGTGCATTCAATCTTGAATGTGGCCCAGGATAGGATAGAGCCAGAAGACAGGTGAGCCTGGGAGTCACGGCAGCTACCCTAGACATTTCCTATGAGCGGGCATAGAAGCTCGCTCCCCATCATGCCACAAGATGAAATGCAGATTGTATCAGATCCTTTCATCTGGGCTGTCAAAATGATTTAAAGAAGCCTGATTAGCAGTCCTCTCTTGCAGACATAAAATACAGCCTCTGTGACTTTTGAGGGGATTATTAAACCATCTTGCCTAAAGTAACATCTTGAGCACTTCAAAAAAAAAATCACTGAGCATCATAGCTCATGCCTGTAATCCCAACACTTGGGAGACTGAGGCAGGAGATTTGCTCTGAGCTTGGGTCTAGTCAAGGCTAGATAGACTAAGTTCCAGGTAAGCCTGGGAAAGAAACCAAGATAGTCACTGTATGTGTGTAACCAGTGCCTTTGGTACAAAGGAAAATAGACTCAGAGTAATTCTAAGAATTCTAGCCCCAGGATCTGATCACCTTGTATGTGATGAATAAAACATTGGCCACCAGATCTTATTGGTAAATGCATCCCACCTTTCTCTACTCTTTTAATCTATAACTATCATCAGAAGATGGAGTCCCAGGAGACTTTAAGATCACAAATGTAAAACAAATTTAAAAATAGCATTCATCTTGAACTTCTCCTACCAGGAAAGGTAAGCCAAGATAAGTTCATGGAAGCAGTGAGGATGTCATTGGAACCACCACACCTGAATGCTGCCACAAAGCTTCTGTAACATTTAAGAAGTCTCTCTCCATGTAGAACCTGGGTGGTTCCCACACAGCTCCCAACATCTGTTTTGTTGAAAATAGTCTGCTTCGCAGCCCACTGCTAAGAATATGCTCATTTAAGACTCAAGGAATGTTTGATTTCCTAGACATTGCCTGAGCTCTGCATACCATTTAATGCTGATAAGAGAACAAGGTTGAGAAAAAACAGCCTGAGAAATGGGAAAGAGAGAATTTCCTTCCTGCTTAGACTAGGGTCTAAACATGTTCATTTCTACACCCGAATTCAAGACTACATAAAGAAAAAAAAAAAAACAAAAAAAACAAAAAAACAAAACGGCCAGCCTAGAAGACAACTCAGCACCCAACATAAGAAAACAAATTGAAATGGCTTTGTAGGTGGTAGGGAGGGGGTGGGGGTTGTGCTCCCCTTCAAGTAGCAAGAATTTCTTCTACCTGAATTGACAGGCATATTGAGCACTTTCAATTTTACTGTGTTCAAGGGGCAATTTTATGGTAATGCCATAAGTATGGTTTAGTGAGAACATTTCTTAATATGGTAATCTAGGGGAAATATATGCCTAAGGGACACATTTTCTGTAGAAAGATTTCCTGGACCATATGCTACAGATACATGGAAAACTCATTGGTGATGGAAAGCTATGGCTACGAAAGGAAATTAATGTGGACCAGATGGTGGTTAGGTAGGAAAACGCTCTACACAAATGTGAGAAATCAGCCTCTTCATATCTCTGAAGTGTTAGTCTAATACACCACATCTCAATTTTCTGTATGTAAATCTAGAGAAACTATGCATCTGATTTACTCAAAAAAGAAAAAAAACACTTTGTAATCTTTTAAACTGGTGCTTAAGGACAGAAAGCACAGGCTAGTGATGAATCAGAGCAAATACTTGATCCTCAAAAAGTTTCGAGCTGGCAGGTCAGAGTATGCAGAAGAGCGGCCTCTGTGAGCAAGCAAGGCGGGTATTCTTACGATTGGCCACGCTTAAGCACGGCTACTAGAAATCATGGGTGTTCTTTCTCACAGCTTGATTTTATAGGCTGGATTATTCATACACACAGTCTGTGAGACTTTGTAACCAAAATGACTTGTGGATACGGCATTGCTTGTCAATAGATTCGCTGTAATTATGCAGCCCAATAGGAGAGGTCACATTTAATCAGTGGACAGAGCATATGCTCTCAAAGTCTTCGAAGACACAAAAAATTACAGGTGCATTTGAAAAGCTAACTTTCATGCATCATGTTGTTTCTCTACATCTACAAGTCACTGTGATTCTAGAGGCTAGAGACCCTGCCTGCTACTCTAACTGTTAGCAATGATTATAGCCGGTTAGACATAAAAGGCACTCCAGTTCAATACACAGAGGAAGAGAGAGAGAGAAAATAGTCAGGGCCCAATTCACTAAAAGGGGTTCTTGCATACATATACATACATATAATGCCTATACATTAGTCAACAGAAAACTGGCACAGGGTACTAAAACGATTCCTTTATGAGAGAAAGGAACTTCCGTTTTGTGATTTGTTCTGTGGGCCTAAATTAGCCAGGAAGTGCACGACAGACCGAGGACACTCGCAGTACAGGTACATTCTGGCCTGCCTTCCTCATCTGTGTTCATGCCCATAGAGGTAGTCATTTGGTCCTTCCCCTTAGCCTTCAAATCCTGCACCTCCTCCATTGGCTGATACATAGCAGTCACTCAACAAATAGTTGTTGAATGAATTAATTAAATATTTTCTTAGTTAATGCCAAGATAGTCATAGCTCGAGAATATATATGTGCTGTCTAGAGCATTACTCCTGCTTTTTTCTTTAAAACAATATATTATGTTTTCTTTCCTTTGGAAGTCTCTCTCTATGCCCCCTTAGTAACTTCCTGACCTTAGTGGTGGGCGGTCTCTCATTTCTATGGTCAGTTAGTCACCTAACCCCTGCATACTCAATAGCTCCTACCTGCAATGGGCAGCATCAGAAGCTAAAGGGAAAGCCCGTCTCTTCTTTGGTTTCCTTACAGAAGCTCCAGGGCAAGCGCTTACAACAACTGGCCATTGTCTTTTATAGGCTCATTTTTTCTATTAACATATGGAAAATTAATAAATGCCTGCTCTTTGAGGAAGAGATGAAAGATCTACTTGCTTGAAGAGTGAATTTTTTTTTTGTTCATAAAGTGCATCCCAGAGCTTAAGTATATGTTCAAAAAATTCCCTGGGAGTTAAAATTGGTCTCAAACAATTGATGAACTAGTTTCAAGGTCTGGATTTCTCAACATCTGATAAAAATTATTCAGTTATAGGCGACGATGCAAAGTCTGACTTTACAAAAGAACAGGTGCTAAGTGCTTCCCTTCCTGAAGGTTAAGGTTAAGCTAGATGGCATTTGTCTTTTGAGCAATTTTCTCCTGGTCTCTGTTGTTCAATATTCCAGTTTGAATCATAGAATGTCAAAGGTGGAGAAATCCTGTGGACTTGTCTGTACCACCATGCCTCACATCATGAGGGGGCCGAACAGGAGAAGTGTATTGCACAGCTCTGGCTTTTAAGACAGTCTTGAAGACTTCAATGAGCCTTCTAATTTATGCTAATCGGTCTCTGGGATTGAAAACTTACACAGAGCGCCTGAGTGCCATTTGTAGACACCATGACCTCTTCTTTGCATCCTAAATCTTGTGTTTGCCTCTTCTTTTCATCCTACCCTCCATTTTAACCTACTCATATTTAAAGACCACCCCTTAACTATCCTTTTGTTGTATATCTCAAAGGCAAAAACTATTGAATGGCTGAACTCCTGGTACAAATTAAAATGCAAAAGATTAAGTTTGATACCACAGAGATGTTTTGATACTCTGTTACTCTGTTTTGAAAAACACATTCAATCGTTTAACTTAATAGACATTTGGAGGTTTATTTAAAAACAAAAATGAAACAGCTGCATTCCGGGCTTACATGTGAAGCCACTGCCTGTGTATTTCAGGCAGAGAACGAAGGGAGAAATCCTGTTTGGACACTGGGCCCACTGCCTCTCCTTCCTCATACATGTTTTGAAGAAATCAGACTAGAAAAAATGTTTAAATGTTCAAACTCTGAGCTTAAACTGTGTTGGTCGATTTCATGCCACACTGCACATGTGTGCCTCATAAGGCCCTAGTGTGTGTGCCCTATATGGGAATTCTCCTGTTGGGGAGCTTATCCTGACAGTCAGGATTGGGGAGATCGTATGGAGGGGCTACAGTTTATGAGTTAGACCCACTGCTCTTTTGTCTTGAATTTCCTGATCCATAAGCATATTCAAGAAGGAGGAATTTGTTTTCACTTGAGAATCCATTAGAGGTATTTGTCAAATTCTTGAACATTAGCATGTTTCATATTAATATGGATTCAATATATAAGACTTGCTCTCCCTTATCAACTGTCCCATAAGCACAGTTATTTATTTATTTATTTATTTATTTTTGGTTTTTACGAGACAGGGTTTCTCTGTATTGTTTTGGAGGCTGTCGGTCCAGCCCAGCCTCGAACTCACAGAGATCTGCCTGCTGGGATTAAAGGCGTGTGCCACCACCGCCCGGCTATTTATTTATTTTTTAAGCATAGTGAAATCTAGAAATAAATTTAGTGAATTTGGGCCCTGAAGTAACAAAGAATCTGGTCTATGATTAGGAATGAAAACTACAAACTACCAAAGGATAAGTAACTTTAAGTATTAATATTGATGCGTGTATATATATATATATATATATCAATAAACTGACCATACACTGTGTTGAAAGACATTTCATAATCTGGCAGAGGAGTTGAAATGTCTATAAAAAATGAGGATAAAAATCAATTAAAAAGAATCCTAAGGTTTAAAAATACTCAGACGGATTAGTGCAACAGATTTCCACAGACACAAGATTAAGGCAGTAACATCTTCCTTACCATTCAGTGCCACGAAGGAATCTGAAAGACAAAATTGGGGAGGTGGTTACTTAACTGCACACATTCGTAGTGTGACTTACACAGTGAGTGGGGATGAGCTCATGAGAACTGGGCCAATGGGGAAGCCCCAATACCGGAATATATCCGTCACTTCCTGCTTGTAACCAAAGCAGCTTCCTACTCAGTCTAGTGTCCTATCTCTAGTTCTCTTTTCCTGGCGAGTTTACCCCAAAGTTGCTGCTAACTGGCAGAGAAAACCCAAGGGTTGTTAGCAGAGGAAGTGGTCACTGCAATGATTTTCTGAGAGTCAGGGAGCCAGGCTCAACTTTGTACAAAAGGGGCGTGGCTGTGGATAAAGTAACCTGGCCACATCTGCAAGAAAGAACTTTTCTTCATGCTCTCTTGTTTCATCCTCATGAATGAACTAAGAGGACTGTCCAGGATCATAATGGTCTGAACTCATCGGCTGGCTTAGTTTGGAAATTAAAAATTCAAACCCACACACTTGGGAAAGCCACATATGCAGGTTTGTGTGTTGGTGTCTAGGTTAGACCACTGGTTCACCAAGCACTGGCTCTCTGTGATTTTTGTAAAAGTCCGCTCACAGTGTGGCAATTATATAATGTCCCCTGGATACGAACACGGATGTGCACAAGTGTGTGTCATAGAAGTAGCTCCCATTCTGGTGGGAGCATGAGGAGACAAGCCCTCAGGACAGCAGGCAGGCAGAGGCACAGTCTCACCTTCTGTCCTGAGAGGGGCCCCCAGAATAGTGTAAAGGGCGGGGCACCAGGGAAACAGGCTTTACAGCTGAGCCTGAGCGTAAAGACTAGATCACTAAATTGGAACCTCCTACTTTACGTATACTTGTTCTCTTAGGCGTCTTTGTTGTCTTCTGTGTGGACACTTAAAGACAAATGGCAATCTATCGCCCCATCTTTGTACATTTCCTGATGTAAGCCAAGTCTATGTTCCAATTGTTCTACATACACTCATACCACCAGATCACAAAATGAGACAAAAATGTTTCCTAAAGCTAACTTAAGTATCTTTAACACCCCCCAGACCCCCCCCAAAACCTGTCTTTCTACAACTGAAACTACAGGGCACAAGATAATTAAGGTGGAACGACTGAACTTCAAGCCATTTTACTGATACAACTGAGGAATCACACACATGACACAGACATTTGGGTGGTAACATATCCACTACACCAATTCTGATGTATAACTGTCTCATGTGAAGACATGACAAATAAAAATGCCGGGCACGTATTTTACTAATAAGACAAATTATGTAGGGTTAAGAACTTGTAGATAAGGCTGACAATGGTCTTCTTTATTTGATTATTCTATAGCTCTTGCAAAAGCATATGATAGAAAGTTGAATGATAACCTAGCCTGGAATTTCATTACTTTCAACTTAAAGACTTTGATTTATATCCATGATCTTTATTATAAAGCCATATACTATTAGCCACCCAGTTTTGCTTCTGTAAGAGATGTTTTTCAGTGCCATTTTGAATGCAAGTTTCATGAAATTCAGCACACGGAACATTTTTTTTCAAAAATTGTAAACTAGGTGACTCTCCTCTAAGAAACCCACACCATGTTTTCAGATCTGTCCTGGCTTCTTCCCGAACGCCTTTCTTTCTCTTAACTCTAGTGCTGAGAGACTGGGAAAAAAACCTATTTTTCCCAAGAGCATAGCATTATTATTTACGTTTATAACACTAAAGCATTTTCAGGAGAATCCTGATATTGACCAGATCATAAGACAACAGGACAGAGTTCTCAGATCTCTTCTAAAAAGTCCTAAGTACAATGTTGCTATTTAATAGTATGTGACATGAATTCTGAGAATGACACTGTAGGTAAATTTCTACAAAGAAGACATTAGAAATGCTTTATGCTCATGAGTTATTTCTTAAGTTTGTTCCTATCTTAAATGGCTTCATACATGTGCATACACACACACATACTCAATTTTGAAAAATAATTACTTTCATTGGTGAATATGTTAAAGAACACTAAAACAGTCCTACTCAATTAAAAAGCTAGAGCGCAATGATTAAACTTTTGATTATTTGACTAAAATACAGTATAATAGCACATGATGGAAAAGAGCAAAACTCATTTTTGTAATGGAAATACTGACATAATTTACTGTTGCTATAATTAATATCCTCAGCATTATAATAAGGAGAGACGTGCCCACATTTACAGCAATAACCCTGACAGTGTTGGGTTTCCACACTACGATTTCCTTTTTGTTATGTCCAGAGTCTGCTGCATTGAGTTCTCCATGTGATGTGATGCTCACCATTCGATAACAGCAATAGCATCTCTACCCATAGGCAAATAGAGATTTAAAAGTGCTACTTACTGTGACAGTCTCCTAGGCCATCTGTATTGCCACGCTCTATGTCCTGTTCAAAAGTCAGCCTTTTTAAAAAAAATGGGAGGACAAGGAAAGAAAAAAAAATACAATGCCATGAGTCATCACTCAGGAATGAGTCTTTAGTTTCATTAAAAAGTGACCTGAAGTTGGGCATTGGTGGCGCATGCCTTTAATCCCAGCACTCGGGAGGCAGAGGCAGGCAGATCTCTGTGAGTTCGAGGCCAGCCTGGTCTATAAGAGCTACACAGAGAAACCCTGTCTCAGAAAAAAAAATGACTCGTTTGCTAAGCTGAGCCACTGGAGTGAAAGAGAAACAGCTCTCTGACAGTTATAAAAATGGGTTTTCTGTGAGTCTTCAAAGAGAAGCTCTGAGAGTAGTAAATTCAGATCTTCTGCAGGAAGCTAATTAGCTTGGGATTATTCTTATCCTCCCTTACTCTGGTTCCTTAAGATGGACTTAAACATTTGAAAGTTTTCATGCGAAAGCTGGCTCCTCACACAAGCAATAAAGGGAGGGCCGGGTCCTTTCTGCTTCCCTTTACACTGCTTCCCGTGCTCCCCAGGTCCTCTCCTCTAGTCCCTTGCCTACAACGCACACATGACCAGGTTTAAAGGCACGACTGGCTGAGACTGTGCTTTCTCCCTGTTCTTTCCAACGCTCAGCACTCCTTTCCTCCTCCTCCCCCATTCCTGGTCATCACCATTCATTCTGAGTTTTCAAACAAGCACACTAGATTTGTCCATGGGAAGGGTGTCCTTCAGGAGATCTTTGTGCTTATATTTCTAAAATGGAATTGAAAATTCTGATTTGTGGTTGCCTCCCAGTGTATCATGAACCACACAAGAAAACTACTTTGAAAGTCACACCTTGATCTAATAATCCGTATTTAGCCTCTAATGTCTTTGGCTATAATGAACATTAAATTCCCCCTCTAAGGATGTGTGTTTCTTATAATGAAAGCCAGTAGCCATCCAGTCCCCAAACCCAAATCTCCCAGCAGAGTTCTGTGCGTGGTGAGCAGTGCCTGTGGCAATCAAACGTGGTGCAGGCTTTAAAGGCAGTCTCTGGCAGCTCTGATAGTAACTTTAAAGTAGTTTATAAAAACGTTGCTACCTTTGGTCAGGTGTTGAATACAGGACAACTATTGAGCCCCTTCTCAGCCCCGCCCCGCCCCTGATTCTTTCTGCTCCACCATGAGGATTCTCATGAAAAGATACGAAGCCCCAGTTCTATCAAAAGTCAGCAGAGCTAGCTTCAAAGCTGTGCTACTCATGCCTAGTGGGTCATCTGCAGTCCCTGGGTTTCCGGGTCACCTTTTACAGTTATCATTAGCTCTGGTAAAGAGAAAACTTCTTAAATTATATGGATGGTGGGCACCAAATGGGCTCTCCTAGTTGCCTAGCTATTTCAAAAAGAAAGGCTGCTTCCAACATAGGAATAGCTCTTTTTCATAGGAGGGGTTGGGGAGGCTCTTTTGTTGAAGGAGAGCCCTGGACTGCCCTACACACCTCATTTGCATTGTCCACAACTTCTCTGAGGCATGCTTTGAATATTTTTTCCAAAAGTTATTTTAGATTTCATATCCACTTAAGTTAAAAAAAAAAAACACAGGCAGAGCAGAGTGGCTTGATCTAGGGGAGCAACTGGGAAATTGCCAACATTGATTGTGTGTCTGATGAGTCATAATGGTTGTTCAGCATAGGTGAAAGCTTTCTGGATGTGGACACCATGCTTGAAGCATGATCACATGGTTAACAAAGGCTCTGCTGCTTTTTCTCAGCCGTATTTGGTCAGTGAGCAGACTCATTTTGCCATGGATGGACATTTCGTCCACTAATCTAATCGGTAGCCCATGGCTCCTTTCTCTGCTGTCCTCAAACCATGATTGCTCAAGGTGCATTTTCATGTCCCACTTTCTAGGGAATACTTTTGAAGCCCACTGAGCTTCCTTTCTGTGTTCTTGTCTAGTCTGAGGTGGATTATCCTTCGGACACTGCCACGCATGATGCTCAGGCTCTGAACTGAGTTGGGGATGGAGAAGGCGCCTGGCAGTTCCGTGTTGATGGTTTGAGGGAACAGGGACAGGCCAATATCTAGCACTATGCCCTCCCACCCCTCAGGCTCCTTACCTGCTAAGGGGTGACAGATGGGCACAGGAGCCACTTTCCTTCACCCACCCACAGTATGGGTCTCTGGAGGCAATACAGGTTCTGCAGGGAAAGATGACTGTCAGCTACCCAGGATTACTTTCTAACTCTCTTGGATTTTCCAGCTGTCAATGAGGCAAAATACATACTTTTTACACTTGCCATGTCGTTCACACCGGCCAACAGGCACCTTTATTACACAGGTGGAGAAGGCAACATACAGCGAGCCACTGGCTCTGTCGAGCTCCATGCCCATGATCCTTTTGTCTTCCACACCATCGTAGCTGCACCTAGTATTATGAGGTAGGAGGAGACCATTAGCAGATTCTTGGGAACCATTTTCTTCCCCACGCCACCACCCTGGTACTCATTTCTGCACTGATATGCTAACCTCCTGATCTAAAACATCTGTGTGGACATCCTACATGAGCGGCCATACGGTCATGACATTACCGGCAAAGAAAACTAATGCTCAGTACTTACTAGAGATGGTGTGAAAAGTAATGGAAAACTACATAAACTCACTTGTCTGCCATGATTTTCCATGAGCAGAAAGGATCGCAGTAACACGACAATCATTACCAAGAAAGGTCCCAATGTTTGACTCACTTCTCTGGGTTGTAAACATTCATCTCCTCCAGGAAAAGGCTGCCATTTAGAAAACCACTGCTTCCTATCCTGGCCAAGAACTTCAAGATGATTCCCTTTTCTGATCCCAGGAAAACCACAGTGTGATTCTGATACGGCCCAGCAGCGTTGTCTACTGCAATTTTGGTCAGGCGGTATCTAAAATGACAGCATTACGTTTGGGGAGGGAAAAAAGAAAGACTCTTTGTTAGTCTACCATTAAAGGTCCCCTTTCCGCTTCAAACAACTGTGACACGGCTTTCTAGTAACAATGTCATGAGAAATGTATGCATGGAAGTAATGCTCTCAAGCTGTTCCGGTCCTCTATTTTCATATGCAGAACATTAGGATAGCTCCAACAGGGAGAAGGAAGTATGTGTGTACAGAGGCCAAGTTCCATAACAAATAAATATCCATAACCATATGAAACCACTCAGCATTCTCATCTGTGTAAGAGAAGACTAACGGGGCCAAGGGAGAGGGCAGGCATAAGAAGTGACTGTGCTTAGCATTTTTTAACATCGAGAAGGAACGTGCTGGATCCCATTCTCCACACTTTTCCTAGGAGGCACTCTGCTTTTGGTAATGAGATACAAGACTAAGGAACCCTTTGATCGTACACACAGGAGTAAGGAAGGTCCTGAAGGGCTCAGAGCAGTACTACCACATTTGTGCAAGCCAAACCACATTTGGTAAGGGAACAGAGAGACAAGCATAGAATTAAGGCCTAGTGGGTATCCACTTTCTATGAAATTCTTTGGTCATTCCATCTTTCCTGGATACTTATTTGCCCTAGATACCAAGACAGGAACTAGAAAACACCAGCTTTCCTATAAGCAATAGGCCATGGTCGCTAGGGTACAGTCAAGCCATTTCATAGTTCAATAAAAGTCATGCGATTAAAAACAGGGTAAGCTCACCGTTTTGTGTTATTGACTGCCACAGTTTAGAAAAGCCTGCTGTATCATTTGAAAAGAAGCTCCCATCACAAAGGATATGGATGCTATCAGAAATCTCCAATCAGCTACTGCTCTGTTGGCATCACTTCCGATAACAAATACTAAAGTATAACTCCTCCATGCTGGCCTGCCATTACAAATGCAGTGTCCCTTCATGTGCCAGCAGCCCAACCATACGTAACCAAGCAGGTAACCACTTCTCACGGGCTTTCCTTCACCATTCCTCTGCACCGCACAGATTGGATTAATAATAAGCTAATCTTGAAGGAAGTATTTTTCTTTCTTCTAATTGCTGGCACGTGCAGAACTGGCCTGAAAATGCTGGCACTCTTCTCACTGGGAATACAGTGATGGGGATTTGGTGGCATCTACCCAGCCCGTCAATATTTCCTAGCTGAATTGATGCCCAGGATAGCAGAAGATGTTTGTGGCATTTCAAAGCATGCTCTACTGACAGGATTCATGAACACAAGAAAAAGCCAAGGAAATCCATGTAGGATGTGCTTTGCTCGGCACCCACCTGACCATCGTTCTCAGGAACCAAGGTCGGTTGATGATGGAAGGTACGGCCTCGTCCATGAGTGGGTGTGTCTTAATGAAGTTCAGGGTGTCATCAGGAAACTCATTGGAGGTTGCATATCTTTCTAAAGACGATGAGCCGGCACAACACCCTGGCCTAAAATGAGAAAAAGGGTGGCATGGCAGCGGGGGAAGAGTTATTTCATGACTTCTGGCAAATTCTTTGAATGAACTGCTCCCCTAAGCATCTGGCATGAAGTAGGCTGCATCGCAGGCAGAGAAGAGGAAGTTGAACAATGCAGAATGCCACCAAGTACAATATGCTGAGATTTCCTCTGGCCCGCCTCCTCACTCTGCAAAGAGGTTTTAGCTGGTACAGCTCAGTTTTATCTCCAGGCAGCTTGGCTTCCTTCCAGATGCACACACCAAGCCCAGTGAACAGAGATGGGGCTGGAGCTGAGTGAGTGGTGAGGGTGTGGGGTCATACATGCTGGGGGGGGGGGTCCTTCACACTGTGAGTCAACTCCACACAAACCTAGACCTATCTGGGAAGAAAGAACCTCAGCTGACATGTCTCTGTCACACTGGTCTGTGTGCTTGTTTGTGAGGCATTTTCTTAGTTGGCTATTGATGTAGGAGGGTCCTGCCCACTGTGGATGGTGTTACCTCCAGGTAAGTGAGCCCCAACTATGTAAGAAAGGTGACTGAGCAAACTAGGAGGCAAGCCTGTAAGCAGTGTGTCTTGTGGTGTCTGTGTCAACTTCCTGCCTTGGCTTCCCTTGTTGACAGACTATAGTAAACTCTCCCTGAGTTGCTTTCCGTCATGGTGTTTATCACAGCAACAGAAAGCAAACTAGGACACCCTACTGGAGGTTCTAGACACTGCTGTGACCCTTTAATGCAGTTCTTCGTGTTGTGGTAACTCCCAACCATAAGATCATTTCATTGCTACTGCATAACTGTTATTTTGCTACCGTTATGAATCATAATGTATATATCTGATATGCGACCCCCAAAGGGGTCACAGCCCACAGGTTGAGAACCACTGTCCTCAAAGGAAGGGATTAGGCTAACATTGTCACAAACATGGAAAACAGAGATTCTTAGTTGCCAGGGCACACAGCAGCAAGACTTAATGTCACAACCTCTCAGAGTATATTAGTTCACTTTTCATTTTTGTTTGTTATGAGATTTGGGCAGGTCTGGAAAGCCAGCCACACTGAAGAGCCTTTCGTGAAAGACCAGTTCCTTGCAACTCAACGGAGATCATGAAAGTGAACTTTGCAAGAAATTCTGTGGTTTGGGTGTTACAGGGAAATCTCAGCAAAGTCAGATCAGAGAATACTAAAGTCTGCGGTCTAGACACCCAGCTGCCTGCTTGTGCAGAAGAGGAAACTGTGGCCTGCTAGACAACCTTTTCCCATGCCATGTAGCTACAACCAGCCAGCCCTCCACAATCAGCCTACTTTTGGCAAAACGGATGAAAGAAGCATATAGAAGCATGTGGGTAATCACATGGACTTGGGAGAAAAATCTCTCAACACATGTCCTTGTAATGCCTATGTGACATCATATTCGCCCACCAAGAAATATGTATATGTTCTCCCTAGAAACCAGTTACTCCTCTCCAACTCCCTGACTTCCTTCAGAAGGCGAGGAACAGTCCCAGGGGCTGAGTTAGGCAGTCTGTCTGGTCCCCAGTCTGTACTTTCACATTGAGACTGCCTCAAACAGAGAAGGAACATGCCAGGCAACTCAGCCGACAGAAAGGGATGGCCACTTGGGCTTCTTTGGTTCCTAGAATCTAAATTGCTTCAATTAAATGCACGTGCAGGTATTTTTGGTAGAAGTAGGATAGGAAGACAAGGGAGAGCACTAGAAAACAAAAAGCTAGGAAGACGCTGGGCTTGATTCCAGCACCACATAAACACTGCGGAGAGATTCCTCTGTAACTCAGATCACAAAGGTGAGGAGGGTGGGGAGCATGTGCCGAGTAGAGTTGGAAAACATGGGGTCAGGATGTGAAGTATGTTCTTCCAGAGTTAACTATTTAATGGGAGCATATGAAGAAATTGAACTGAGCAGTGTCTCTGAGTCGTGGGCTTCTGTGTGAGAAGGTCTAGGACACAGCTTGGAAAGGGCTAGCACTCTATAGTAGAAAGCAACCCACTGTACGGACTAAACACTTTTACCCTTGACCTGGCGCCCTGGACTCAACTCTGATCCCACTTGTTGCCCAAAATCAAGGAATTCTATTGGGATTAAAGAGTTGGCATAAAATCAGAGAGAGGCACAGCAGAGGTACCTTCTAATCATATGAACTTGCACAATACAGTTTACTGTCTGGTCCTTAAATTTCCTACCTATAGGCCAACAGGACTAGCTCTAGCAGATGGCTCCTATCACCTGGTATACGGGGCAGGCCACATTTACAGAGGTTGAGCAGAAGATTAAAGTCCTGATTTGTAGGTACTAAAGATTACTTTGGGTTTTGGTAAAGAGGATGAATGCAAATGGTCATGAGGGTCTTTCTGTCGTTCTTGGCTCTCTAATCTGCCTGGCTTGTGATGAAAGGTACCAGTATGTGGTCTACAGGATGTTCACTGTCAGAGAAGTCAGTTTCACCATTTCAGAGTTGGAAACAGCTGAATAAATAAATATTTGTACGTACCTCGGTTTAGGGACGCGCTCATCTGGAACTGGAGTCCAGGTAGAATCTGGAGATTTCTGTTCCTTGAATCTCCCAGTAAAAACATTGGCAATGTCAAGCATGTCATAGGCACAGACTGCAGACCCGGGGATGCTACAAATGATGTTTCACACAAGGTGTTACTCGCATTACTGCTATACACTCCTATAGAAAACATACTCTGAAGAAACTCTTATCACAGGCAGTAGAATTTAAAGTCCATACCCTGAGCACTACAAAGAACGGTATAATAACTATAAAGAGAATGTGTCTGCCAATCAAATTGTATCAACAATCTTAAAGAATAGGTTAGTTAGTACAGGAAACTTGGGGGGACGAGCCCATCATTTCTTCATTGCCTCTTGAGCCCCCTTTATGGGGAAGAATTATGAACTGGTTAAAGAAGTTTTATGAACCCCACAGAAAACAGGGTACTACTGCCTTTAGGAGCTAGATCACAGTTTAGGATGGGGACAAATATAATAAACTCTGAGCAAGCCAGTGAGAACTGTACATGAATTAGCACAAGGTTTCATGACATGAGACCCCGCCACAGGACTTGGATGGGTGGACACTGGTCAGGCTAGAAGACCTTAAGAGGAAGAAAGGTACATTCCAGAACCAGACATTAGGTCTGGTAAGCCTGTGGTGTAGTGTTCGACAAAAAAAGGAGGAAACAGGCTGAGGAGGGAAGAGAGTCAAACCACCCTGGGGCTGGTGTGCTGGACCAAGGCTTGCTTGCTATTTTTCCCAGGGTAGAAGACGGACCCCTTACAGATTGCCAGCAATCTGGCACAACCAAGTCTGCCTGTGTGGAGAGGGATGAAATGAGAGAAAGACCACATATGACTTAGGATGAAAATGGTAAACACATTTGCAGATTGGCAAATTAGGTTGTCTGATCTTATTGAACAAATAATATTTCTGAGGCCACACAATCATAAGAAGATAATTTTAGGGACACTTAGGAAAGCAAATGGATTATCTATAACACACAACAACACACTGTATTATAATCACAAAGTAACCCACACTTTTAATAAAACTAAACTCCCCAAACTAGAAATGTATTCTTAAATTACTAGCCCCCACATTCCTGTGTACCAAGACAATATGTTTACCAAACACCCTAGACAGGACCTTAAAAGTGAATATTCAAGCCCTGAAATATTTTATATCTTTCCTATCCTTAAGTCTAAAAACCCTTGTGGATGATTAAAGCTTTTCTAAATCTAATCAAATACTTCTGGCTGCAATCTAAGCTCCCACTTTCATTTACCTTCAATGAGAAATTCCAGACACTTGCCCTCCCTGTAATTGAGGAGCATGAGTTCATCCTTCAGCTTGCTCTCTTCCGGGATCTTCCCAATACCCAGGCATGTCTTTCTAGATGCTATCTTCCAATCTTATCATTTTTCATGCCTGTCATGTAGGTACTCATGAAGTTCATGAGAGTACTTGTAAAAAGTATAATCCTGAGTCTGTTCTTAGAAGAAGATACTCCATACAGAATCGCTAAAGCCTTACACAAACAGGAGAGCACGGTGCTTGCATTTACAGCTCATAGCCAGGAGTTACCCCCAGAGTTATACTCATTTCATACAACAGTATTGGGACTTTGAAACCTTATTGGCTTCATAGAGAGCTAGATGCCAGAGAAAGATGGTAATTCTTCTATTCTGTCATTTCCATATATATTCACTGCTTTGGGGGCAATTATTAATGTGTCATTTAATTAGTTAATATTTCTGATGAACTAAACATAAACACAGAAATGAAGTGACAGACAGTATTTCTACAGATAGTGTTTGATAGCTTATAAGCCCTCACTTGGCCCTTCCAGAGGCACGTGTGCTAGGGTTGGGATCTGGGCCATGACCCGGAAGTCTGAGGCCACTGGAGGTTTACATCCTCAGTGGGATGATAACTAGGGTCTTGGGTGGGATCCTTGGCAGGTTCACCTTGCCCCTAAATTTCTCACTACAGCATTTTAATAAATGTCCAATATTTTAACACACACAAAACCCAGTTCAGTCAAGGAAATACTATAAGTTAAACAGGAATTGCCAGGTGACCTATAAGAGATCAGAGGAAAACACTGAATTCCAAACCTGTCCCTTCTGTCACTGACTTTGAGATCCAAACAATGGAATGTTTTATACTATTTCTTCATGTGTAAAAAGAGTATTTATATGTCAGTCATATAAATAGAAGATATTGCCATTACTTATCCTCCCTAAAAATCTTAATTTAATAATACTCGTAAATTCTAATTAGCTCATTGATGAAAACTCAGAACAAAGTGCCCTTTATCTACAAATAGTGATGACTACTTTTCCATGACTTGCATATCTTTCTTTCCCCCATGGAGAAGGGAGCTGGGAAGAATATATTAGGTCAATACAGCCAGGGCATGGTTACCTGTTATAAGGTGTGGAAAAGGTTGCCAAGACAACATCACGGCCATTAATGCGAATCACATCTGTAACTGCCTGGAGTATATTGAAATAAAAATGAGAGTCTCCAGGCACTGAGCAGTTCAGGCGAGCCTTCAGGAAAGATGTCCACTGCTTCTCCAGGACTCTCTGAGACCCTCCCATGTCATTCTTACAAACCTGAGCCACCCTGGGAAAAACAACCTGCAGAGAAAAGCACATAGGGAAATGAAATGCAGTTCTTTCCTTCCGAGATGCAGAAGATCTTGAAATCTGCCTTTGCCTAACAACAGAAACAGAACAACAAGGTGCTTAATTTAATACTGTATTTCTAAAATCAGTAACAAAAAAAAGAAGAAAAAAGGAAAAGAAACTCTGCATAGAAACAGAATGTTTTAAAAGATAAGGCTATGGCATTTAATACGGAGTCATCAATCCTTCGGGGGATCAGCTCCCAGCCACATAAACTCATTTCCATACAGACTGCTTAGCTTTTATTTCCTCACACAAAAGCACACTTTGTATGCACCACCTCTGCCATCCCCACTGGCTGCCTCTGGGGCCTGAAATCCCATACTTGGAGTGTGAGTCCCTCTAACCATGCAAGCCACCCTGGCATTTTATTTGTGCCCTCTAACTTAGTGACCTTGATCTGCTGTCTGGTAAAGATAACCGAAACAAACATCCTCTAACTGTTCTCTCCTCTCTACAATAAAACCAAGACTCAGTTTGCCTAAAGACACTGAGTATGTAGTCTCTCTGTGGAGTAACTCAATTAAAAGGGAAAATTGTACCTGGAAGCTACATCTCAAAACACTTAGAATTCGGTATGAAAGCAACCAAACATCTGTTGGTTGGATCTTCGGTAGAAACATTCAAGAGATTCCCTTTAATTTGTTACTGTTCTGAAAAAGTGGATCAGGCCTCCAGACAGCTTAATCTGCCACTTCCAACCATCCTTGGTTGTGTTGTTACTGGGTTCACAGTTTGCATTTCAAGGTCATTTACAACACTGGCTCAAAAATGGGTTTCCCCTCTTACCTTCCCCATGGTGTTGTATTCTACTGCAATTTCTCTGAAGAAGAAGTAGATATATTCTCCATAATCCACTGCTTGGACAAAGTATGGTTCTGCAGACAAACAGGCACTTTAATTGGAGATATGTCACATAGTGTTAAGAGAATTTTAATCAAGTGTAGCCAAAGACGTGTTATTAATTGGAAGTGTAGGGCTATTAGACATGTGGTTAACACTAACCATTTCTAATGACTTCACAAGTGCCAGCGCTAGTGATTTCAGAAGGCACTTGAGTCTACAAATTACATCTTTCGCAAGCTTTGCGACCGTGAGTGAAGCCTAAGTGCGTTTTGCAAATCTCTGTAGTTTTATTTTCCACGCTGGAATGTCCCTATTGCCTAAAGTGGTTTGTGCACATTGCTCATCACCCTGACTCACACGGGGCTGTGAAGAGCTTCTTTCCTGTTCCCGCCCATTTGCCCTCTGTTCCCTCTCATGAATGGTCTTGTTCAGCTCTTTTCATGTGGGACTCTGAAATGAGAGTTCGAGGCAGGGAAAGACGAATGTAATGTATCCTATTGTCATGGCACTGGTAGTTTTGCTAATACTCCAGAAGCTCATGGGAAGAGGGAAAGGGAGGTTAAATAAATCAGTGGAAGCAAAAGATGCAATTTGCATGGTTTTATCTGTCAGAAACCATTACTAAAATGAATCTACAGTCTGGTCCATCCAGACTCCAAATCTCTCATGAGATACCACCTCCTCCCTCACTTCGTTTAATTGCTCACCTTTCAGCCACTTTGAATCATGTTTGACTGTCCTGAGGGTAGGGCTGTCTCCAAGGCTCCTGTAAATGACTGCATCAATGGCCAGGAAGTCAGTTACTGTTGCAGAGTAGAGTTTTCCATCTTAGGAGAAAAAGGAAAGAGTTGAACAGGGTGCTGAGCAAGGCAGGGATGGATGACAATAAAGATGTCCCCCAGACTGCTTTCCTACATCAGGCAAATGAGATAGGACGACTCGGGATAATCCACGAGTCTCGAGGAAAACGCTTGACCCACATTCCTCAACATTTTAAATCGGGATCATGAAAAAGTTAACATTCTTCATTTTAAAATTGCATGGCAATTTTCCTAAGCAACAGTGGCAGTGGCCGCAGCTCGGGAATGGAATAAAGAAAATATGTTATTTGCTTCACTTGATTAGATAGACATTGACTGAGGACCCTTGGATGCTGCTACTGCCACCAATTCATGGTCAACTGGGTTAGGAGGGGCCCTGAGAAATGAGAAGGCGATTTTTATTAAAACAGGTTTTAAATCCATTCGGAAGTATGAATGGCCTGAGCCTTAGCTGAGCCTGGTTGGGTAGAGCGAAGGGAAAAGGGAGGGTTCACGGGTTCCAGTGGTTGGACAGATGACTACCTCTATCCTGAGTGTCACAGTTCCTCTTTCCTTCAGTCCTGAGGTTCACTGAGCCCTGCCAATCTAATAGCCTTTGCTTCTGGGTTTCCAAGAAAGCGAAATGGAAGCATCGTGGTAGAGAAGTGGCCAAAGGAAAGACTCAAGGGTGGGGAGAGCTGGGTTCATATTGGCCCTTCCTTAGGGGCTCCCTGTTTCGGGAGATACGTTTGAAGGTGTGTCCAAAGGAAAGAGAATAGAGAACACTGAAGGTGTGGTTCTGAACTTCTGGTACCTTTCTGGACTAGCAAATACTCTACAACCAAAAACACCAAATAGGATAGCCAAGAACAGAAAGACCTATGTCAATGAAATGGAAACCAAGTACATTCAAACTTTGGACAACTTATTGAGGAGGTGGTGGGATGGTTCAGCAGTTCAAAACCTAAGTTTGATTCCCAGCACCCACATGATAGCTCATAATAGCTGTAACACCAGTCCCAAGGGATCTGAATCCCTTTTCAGGCCTCCAGGGGTACCAGGCATGCATGTGGTATATGAATAAACATGTGCACACAATTCTTGCACACACAAAATAAACAAATAAAAATTTAAGGTCTTTAGTAATTCTTAAAATCTCTCTATGCATTTATGTGCATTGTGATATGTATATGTATGTGTGTATATTTGCATATGTGTGAATGTGGGTGTGCCTATTCCACAGCACACACGTAGAGGTCAGAGGACACCCTTATGTGCCCGGTCCTCACATTCCACCTTGTTTAAGACAAGGTATTTTTCTTTCGAGCTGCTGTGTAAGCTGGGCTAACTGACCGTTGAACTCCTGAAGAGTCTCCTATGTCTGCCTCCCATCGTACTGCAGGAACACAGAGAGGACAAGCTTACACTGTTAGGCCTACCTTTTATGTGGGTCCTGGGGATTCAAACTCAGGTCTTCATGTTGGTATGGCAAGTGCTTTACCTCAGCCATCGCCTTAACCCTCTTTGATCCATTTTTAATGAATCTCATGGTCCCACTAATTAGACCCCAAAGAGACTTACTATAACATAGTGCTCTTTCTGTTTTCCATATGTAGATTCTGAGGCTGAGGGTTTTGGTTTTTTAAACTTGAATAAACATCCTTAAAACTTTTTTTTTTTAGATTCAAGTGTTATTTTGTGTCTAAGTATTTTGCTAGCATGTAGGTATGTGCACGGTGTGTGCATCCGGTGACCAGGGATGTCAAATGAAAGAATGCACAGGACCCCCTGGAACTAGAGTTGTAGATGCTTATAGATGCCCCAGGGGTGCTGGGAAGACAACCCTGGTCCTCCGAAAAAGCAGCTCCTAACCTCTGAGGTAGATCCTGCTTGCACCATGTTCTGCTTCTGTTGGTAAAAATGCCTTTTAGCTCTAACTGGGCTCACCATTAACAAGCACTTAGTTTTTATAAGATTTCAAACATTCCAATGAAAAATGATCCAATATCCCTCCTGCTTGGGTAAGGAAACACGCCATTTTCCTTGTAGCTGTTGGGAGCTGGGCAGCCTTAATAAACTCAATAAACTCCCCGCTTTCTAGCTCAGGCTGCCTGAAGTTCTCTTTTTAGATTCCCTTTAACATTGGGTCTTCCCCTGGCCTTGTTCCTGACCGTGTGCTGCTGACAGCGCAGGGCTGCTTCGGATAAAACTGCGCTGTCCTGGAGGGAGAACCTCGCTTTTTCTGTGCCCTGTCCCTCTGGACCAACCCACAATGGGAGCCACTGAGAAGTAGCTAGAAACGAACTCTGCTTCATAATCAAGGTCTAAAAGTTCCCTCCCCACTTAGGCTATGCCAGGTGTTTGCTGTCCCAATGTGAAGTCGTGAAGGACAGCTGAGAAGGACTGCATCCGAGAACAGTCCATCCCTCTTACACCAATTTTTCTCTCTGTCCACTTCCACATACACAGCTGGCAATGGATTCCTAAACAAACTTCCCAATTAAGATATACTCATATACAGAAATCCCACTAAACTGGAAAACGATGGCCTAGCAGCTACTCCTGTACATTCTGTTCAGCAGGAACACGGGCGCCCGTAGGCAAACTGAGTCTTGGTTTTATTGTAGAGAGGAGAGAACAGTTAGAGGATGTTTGTTTCGGTTATCTTTACCAGACAGCAGATCAAGGTCACTAAGTTAGAGGGCACAAATAAAATGCCCGTAGGTCATTTGGTCAGAGGTATGCGTGTAGCCAAGTCAGATCAACGACGTTTGAGAAGTCAGCTGCTCTATTGGTATGAATAAGTTTCTGGAGGCTTCGTTTTACTTCTCTTCCTTTTTTTTCCATATGTAGACAAGAAGACCTGAAGTCTTTGAGGCTGAGGGAACAGTTGTCTCAGGAAGAAGGAAATGGCCAGGAGAGACAGGCTGTAAAACCCTGTCAACCTGGCCTCTAGCATTGGGGCCACACTGACGGTCCCCTATCAGTGTCTGAGCCCAAACCCAGTTTCGCCCATGCACTGCCGCACCGTCACCCTTTCCAGAAGGCACAAAAGCCTGTGCGAGTGGGGCACAGACCTCTTTTGAGGAGCAAAGCTACAGTCTAATTTCAAATGGCAGAGGCATTCTTAATTACAGTATATTCACCAGAGAATTGGTACAACTGCAACTCCACAAATCCTTCCAAGTAGAGCCTCAGTCACAGGCTGGAAAATGCAAAAGCAAACTTAATGAGAAGAAACTGGGCCACTTACCTGCAAACAGAGCAATGTTGGCATGCTTGGCATCATAAGGGCATCTGGCCATTCCGCTAAATTCATCCCCAAAAGTTTCCAAAGTATCGATCTAAATAAAATAACAGGGTTGAATTATCACCAGACACCAACAACAGGAGCAGAAACTGATATTGAAAAAGTGATTAACATGCAAAGTAATTCATAGGCACCTTGCAAATGCATCCCTGTAAATGACCACTGAAGTAAATCTATTAGTTTCAGATAAGGAAATGGAGGCTTTGAGAGACAATTTACTTGATCAAGACTCTGTAATTAGGGTAGTGTGAAATTCCAGTGTGTCTGATTGGCTCTTAACCCATTACAACAGGCAGATTTCCATATCCTAGTGGAATGGTCAATAAATAAACATCTTACACTAAGGCATTTCTAAGGTAGTTACCAGGAAAACCTACCTGCCCCAATTATCTCCTGAGTCGTGAACTCTATAGAGAATGAGTTGCACTTCTGGATTTGTTTTGCCTGATGAGTCTTCCTTTGTGGATTAAATCCCAGTAGGAGACACTGGAATTTTTCCTCCAGTTGGTTGGCAGAGCAGTGTGGCATCAGCCAAGGTGAAAAACATGCTTGCTAGCAAAACTCAGATGGCCTCTGCACCTACGTCAGCCCAGCTTCAGAATGAACTGCAGAGAAGCTGAGGCCCCAAAGGTAAAGGGGCCTACGTAGGTCACATACAGAGGGAGGAGGGGCTCCTACCTGCTGAGCCCACAGCCCAACCTGGGTCCTTACACTAAAGAACAGAAGGCTATACATGAGGTGCTTGGGAGTTCTATTTGACTCTATTGGTATGGAGAGATAAAGGAAGCATGGAGGACACCTGTCACATGAATCGGAATTGTTGCTCTGGTGCCTGCCGTCTGCTCCCTCATTGCTTAGGATCTTACCAGGAGGAAGGAGCTCAACACCAAGTTCAAAACTGATCTCATTAACATCACTGTTGTCACACCCGCCCATCTCCAGACTCCTCTCAACTTAAGCGTAGTTTGACCCCCGATCTGAGGATGAGGGGAAGATAAACCTCAAACAGAAAAGCGACCTGCAGTGCATCACGCTGCCCAAATCAAGACACTTAAAGTCACTGCTTGAATAGAGGCTGAGGATGTGGCAGGCATTGTGACATCCAGTCAGCTGTACCTTCTGACCTGATGTCCCCATTGCACGGATGTGACAGGCCTTTCCTCTTGGTGAACACTTTGAGGTGGCCCCTGTTTAAAGTTATCATGTGTTTGCAATGTGCATTTGTAAGTCACATAAAAGAGCAGTGTTTAAAATGTAACTGTTTTGGAGGGACAGAGGTCAAGTGAGAGATACCCTTTAAAGCGATATACTCTCCATCATCAGAGCATTCCTCACAAGGCTCTTTTCTGGACGCCTTATCCTAACAAGAGCTTTCTGTTGAACTGCACAGACGGTGTGGTCTGCAGACCTGGCAGGCACTCAGCAATGGACACCTGAACACACCACACTATTGAAATGACCTATTCCAAGTGGAGCCTGCTCTAGTCCTAACACCGAGAAGGAATACAGGGGCTACAGCTACAGCTTACAGCTACAGCTGCAGGAGTCAAAGGAGGAAGCAATAAAGAATGGTGTACCGATTTGTGTGTTTGGGAAAGCCTAGAGACTAAACAAATAAATACATACCATGGTGAAAAACCTTTTTCCATGAAGTAAGACCTAATCCTTGCAGTCACAAGACCTCTGAATAAAACCCCAGTTCATGGGAAATTAAATCCCCATAAGAGGACAAATAGTTATAGAAAGAACTTGCCTGACTTTTGGAGAAGGTTCAGGAGGTCTATAGCCCCAAAAGAGAAAAGGGGTAGAGCTTTAGAAATAGTGAGAAGCCCTCAAAATTTTCCCCAGATAATTTTATTGGGGTCTAATACCTTTCTAACACATCCAACTTTATTTAAATATGTATATAAATTAGGTCTAGGTGAGGAGGCAGAGACCGACCACCTGCCGAGTTACTCTAATTACATTGCCACTTGCTTCTCTGCTAGGAAGAGACTAGAGCCCCGTGGTGGAAGGCCAGTCATTGATTTTGCTTTGAGTCCTTAGTCCTGACTTGTTGATAAAAAGCATGGAAGAGAGTAGCTCTTGTTTGCCTGTAACACAGTGGTTTTCAACCTCCCTAATGCTGTGACCCTTTAATACAGGCAGTTCCTTGTGCGGTAGTGACTCCAACCATAAAATTATTTGTGTTGCTACTTCATAACTGTAATCTTTCTATTGTTATGAATCAAAATGTAAATATCTGTGTTTCTGACGGTCTTAGGTCACCCCTGCGAAAGGGTCATTGGCCCCAGAGGGGTCGTGACCTACAGGCTGAGAACCTCTGCTGTGGCACTTCGTGTCAAACCATCACCTGTGTGGGGTGCCCCAAGTCTAACAGAACATTCACAACGCTGGGCATTGAGGCAGGACAAGAAGTGAACACCATCCTGTGTGTGGCTTCTGAGAGCACCAGGCTGCTAGACATGTCACCATGGAAGTGACTGCAAGTGAGAGGGGACAGCACTGCTACAGCTGAGGAACTGGAATACGCACAGGTGGAATGATCTAGAACACTCATGGCATGAGTATCACGGTGCCAGGAAAATGTGTAACTTCTCACGTGAGATAGCTTCCCAGCTGGGGAATTCCTTGGAGTGTGTTGGAAGCGTTAATCTTAATGAGTCCTAAGCAATGGCAAACAGGGATGGGATATCAAGTGGTAGAATTTAAGTTGAAATAGTAGCACAATGTTCCAACTGACAAGAGTGAACACTGGAACAGACGGGTTGTAGTCATTCAAAATGGATAGGCTGTGTCTATTCTGAACCTGGTTCCTTCCTCTCAGATAGACTTTGCTGCACTATTTTTCATTTTAGTTTATCTATATTTGGGGCATTGTCTCATATTTTGTGACAAGATAAGATGGTACCTCTCTTGTTTCACCCTAATTTTTTTCACTCTTCTGAGTTTCTAAGGTGGAGATGAAACATACCTTCTTTTCAACATTTTCTGCCAAAAGAGAAAGGCCTGAGTTGGGAGATCTTTTTTGGATGAGCCTGATGGATGCTGCCAGCCCACCACTGCTTTTCTCCACGCCATTAAGGTGTTGCTTTATAAGGACCAAACCCAATGTATTTCTCCCCACATAGCACCTAAAAGAAAGCTTCTGTCCATTATCTTGCTGGACATGTCTACTCAAGCTATATGGGTGCTACCTGCCATCCTCATTGTGTTTTCTGTCAACTTGACATAAGCTAGAGTCATCTCAGAAGATGAAACACTCCCATCGGATTAACCTGTCGGAACAGTCCATGGAGGAATTTTCTTGATCAATGATTAATGTGGGATTGGGAGGGAGCTCACTGTGGGTGGTGCCAGTCCTGGGCAGGTGGTCCTGGATTGAAAATGAAATCAGGTTGAGCAAACCATGGGGAGCAAGCCAATAAGCAGCATTCCTCCATGGCCTTTGCTTCAGATCCCACCACCAGATTCTGGCATTAACTTCTCTCGTTGATGTACTTCTTCCCCAGGTTGCTCTTGGTCATGGTGTTTTGTTGCACAACAGAAGCACTAAAACACCTGCACTGTACCGTCCATAAATGACATTGTAGAACTCCCATCTTGAGTGTTCTGTGAATCCTCTATTGCATCTAGGCCGGAGGCAGCCGGGTCACCTACTCTTTAGGAGACAGTCTAGGAGGCCATATTGACACCTCTCTCTCCATTCTTGTCTGTGCATCTCAACAACCCTGAGTTGTTTCATTTTTCCTGAATCTATTCACTTTCCTTCATTCCTAGGGCAACCTACCTTTTCAATTTCTTGTCATTGTCCCTTGTCACTTCAGAGTCCAACATTTCAGTTAGATGAAGCTTCCCAAGCTCAGTAGGTTGTTTCTTGTCCAATGTCTTTGCTTGTGAAGCTCTCCCTACCCAGAATGCCTCAGCCTTCATTTAGTTGACTTCCTACTACCCATCAAGTCAAAGGGTAAAGACTGCCTGGTTCACCATTTATCTGACCAGGCGCTGGCTTAGAAGACACTATTTCAGGTTCTGAGCAACCACAAATGTGTTTCATGCCCTTCGCCAAGTCTCTGTGTGATGTTAACACTCCAGCTATGAGACTAGCCAGTGGGAACGTTTTAGAAGGGTCTCATCTGCCTCCTTCCTACAGCTTCCACCCCTTTTACCTCAGGTAAGGGTAATGGCATTTGTGTTGTACTTCTGTAACTCCTCACATCATTTGACCACAGCAGCAACTCCGTGGACACGTAGCAACTTCCTGAAGCTTGGCCTCCCTAGTGGTCAACACTTCTCTGCCTTTATAGGCTCAGTGCCTGGCCACTATAGAAAATCAACATACATTTCCTGAGAAGAAACATGTTGCACAAAGAAAAGCTAACAGAGGTGGAGCCACGATGTTAGTGCTCTGGCACCTCCGCTCCTAGGTTCCTCAACCGTAAACTACCTCCCCTGCCCCCACTTGATTTCCTGAGTCTTTGAGGCCAGTTCTTTTTTCCTTTTCCTCTCTTGTATACAGGCCAAAGCAAGTAAGGCCATGGCCAAGTGAGCTGGTACAAAATGGAATTAAATCCCGCTCTTGAAAATCTTGCAATGCGAGAGTCTATGGTTTCAAGCAGCATGCTTTGGTAATATCTTTTACAATAGGAATTCCTCACTGATTAAGTGAGCTTTTGTCCTCACAGAGGTAATATGTGAGTGGGAGGAACAAAGAGCAGGAGAGAGGAAATCTACATGCCATTATACATGGTAAGAATGCAGTCTTCGGAACAATAAAGAATGGCGATTTGTAGAAATAACCTTCAGGAGAAAGGCTCTTTAAAGCTATCAATCAATTCTGACCAAACAGGAAGCTTGGGACCCTGATCAGGATCACTCTCTCGGGACAATACACCAAGCTGGGCAAGTGAAGGGAACCTGTACGGTGTTCAGTTACCCCTCTTCAGCGGCTGCAGGTACAGTGACAGTAAATTACGAAATACCTCCTGGCAGTGTGCTTACAGACAGACAAGTGACATTTACCTTGTAGTTTCTGCAGGAAGGGTTGAAGGCATTGGTTCCACAGACAAACAGGGTATCATCATTCTTCTTGAGAAGAACTTTAATGAAATTGTGACACTCATCCTGAAACAAAATTCAAACTGGCTTAACAGAACGCACTCAGCACAAAAGCCCATTCATCACCCTGGACCATGATCCGACAACAGAAGGATCCCAGTGAGGAGAGTACAGTGTGCAAGGTTACAGAGCCAAGATCCCCAGCTACATGGTCAAGTAGTTGCCGTTAAACAAGAAAGGACATCCATGATTACTGCAGCAGTAAATACAATCACGGCAGGGACTGATAACCTATGTTTCTTTTATGTCACAGAAGAAAGGAGACCTTGATACAGCAACCTCCCACCGTATTAATTGTAATGCCAGATGTTCCAGGGTGCCTTGAAGACACTCGGTGTTGTTATTTGACCAAAGGCACAAGAGCCTGTGAGTCTGCCATGATTTTTCCTGCGTGCTCCCACAGTCTGGAGGTATCCCCTGGCCTGCGAGGTGGGTTCCTGGGACAGGCCACTTGGAAGACTCAGGAGGCCAGCTCTGAGTCGCTGATCCCTACTGCGCTCGGGGAGCGGTTCTAAATGCAGTCCTGCCAGCTGGCGTAAGGTTTCATCACATTAAGTGCAAACTATTTTTGCAAATTAAAGCTTTCAATAAGTTGATGGAAAAAGCAATTACTGGGGAAAAGGGACGAGCAAGATGCATTCAAATCATAGTCTACGGCTGGAGATAACCGTCAAAAATGGAACCCGAAGTGGCAGGCGCAGGAGAAATGAAAATTGCCTACCTTATGTTTCCCCTTCATCCTGCACGTGTCTACATCAGCCTGTCTAGATTTCCATGTCAGTTTCTGCAGGGATCAAGAAAGAAATCAATTAGGGCCCAGAGGTTGCTGCATTTGATTTTAGAAGTAAAAGTTCCCTTGGGGCGACTAGAGGCTGAACACATATTTACTGAACGCTTTCTACACACTTTTCCCCATGATTAATTCACCACGACAACAAAATATTAGGAGGGAACTTTATGCTAACTTCTGAATCCTTATCTGTTCATTAAACTACCCGATGTCTCCTTTTTGAGATGGAGGTAGAGGAGAAGGCCGGGAATTTCACGTGAAAATAGTCAAAGCCACTTGCAAGTTGTGCTCATTTGGGTAAAACGTGTGTCACCAACATTTCTGTGCAGTTCATCAATCAGTCTTTGTAAAAATGACCTTTCCCCTAAAATATGGAAATCATTTTCTTAAACATAAAGTGGACATTTGCTCCAGGCAGACAGCGATTTAATTCAGATGGCGCTACTTCGTGTAAATTCATGGGCTAAGTCTCCTAATTGTACCGCACAGCTTTATTAACTAAAATATCTCCATGTGGAGTCATGCGAAAAGCTTACATGAGGCTTTATATATGTGTGGATGGTGATTAAATTCCAGAACCTCACCAGTCAAGTAACTTACATGTTTCGTGACGTAGAAGCATTGACATTGACATACGTTTTAATATGTTTTGGGGACAGAATTTTATTTATGAAAATTGTTGTTTTCTTGGATAAACATGGCCATATTTAAATTAAAGGATTTTACAAATTACACAAATCCCCAACATGTATATGCACACAGGGATGAAATATGTGTTTTGGAATGTGTAATAAACCCTTACTAACCCTAAAGCAGACTTTATAAAAGGTGTTGCTGGCATTAGCCACAGCATCCCAATCACTGCATTTAAGCTACATGTTTCCTAATGACCTCATTTTAGAATGATGATTTTAAAAAGAACTTACTTTGCTACAATAAATTTCTTCTGTGTGGGATGTGTCTATATCAACAGTATAAATATGGTCCCTATAAAAGAAAAAAAATAATACAAAGTGAAACACGACAGTTAGAACAGTTCATTATCTACAGAATAAGTTTATTATGTTTGGAGCAGATAAGCCTGTGATCATACTTGTTGAAAGAAAGAAAGAAAGAAAGAAAGAAAGAAAGAAAGAAAGAAAGAAAGAAAGAAAGAAAGAAAGAAGAAAGAAGGAAAGAAAGAAAGAAATCAGCTGAGCAGTGGTGGTACATGCCTCTAATCCCAGCACTCTGGAGACAGAGGGATTTAGACATCTTGAGTTCAAGGCCAGTCTGGTCTACAGAGCAAGCTCCAGGACATACAGAGATACACAAAGAAACCATGTCTGGGAAAAAAAAAACCAACAGAAAACAAAAACAATAATCTATGGGGCCTTGAGTAGTATTTATCCCTGGCACTTTGAGTGCCCATGCCACAATATGGGAGGCTGTTTCAGCCGGGACTCTTGAGGGAGGGCCTAGGCCCTGCCCTGGATGAAATGACAGTCACTAGAGATCCACCATGGAGGGCCTCACCCTCCCTGGGGATTGGAGTGGAGATTAGGTTGGGGCCTGGGGGATCTGGTGGGGGGGGGGAGCTGGGATTGACATGTGAAACAAGATTGTTTCTAACCTAAATAAAGAAAACAAAAACAAGATACTCACATGCTAGAAAAAGGAAAGAATTTAGTGTAAGAGATTATCTTGAACCATATTTAGTACTTATGGTTTATGGTGGAATTGGGTTGATATACAAAAGCTCTTAGTAACTGTTCTCCTAATCTCAGAACTATAGAACCATGTGAACGGAGCTCAGCTGGGAGGATCTGCAGATTTATGTGATCCAGAGGTGGAGCAGAGATGGGTTCACATTGGCTGTCAGTATCTTCAAACCCATGCACAAGTTGCTTGGTATTCAACATGGTACATTTGATAATTTGATAGACAAGATAGAAGAAAGGTAAAATTATTTCCAGAAGCTACCCTTCCCTCCGCAAGATCACATTAATTAAAGTATAAATGTACTTGAGCTACGGTTGAAACCTTGTGCCTCTTCAAACCCTCTGGTTTTGCTCTGTGTTTGGTTTTCTCTACAGTTTTTGCTACCAACCTCCCCTTGAAAGGGGAGACTCAGAATCAGCAGCTCAGGTGTGGGGCTGTATTTAAACCTCCCTTCTGTGTGAGGGGAGTACAAGGGCCTTTTTGTCTGGAATTCCCAAGAAAGAGAAGAAAAGAAACGCACTCAATGGAGGAGGTGGGGGGCTGGTGGGGGCAAATCCAAACAGCTCATTTTCCCTTGAAATAACATTGACTTTTTCTAAAATGCAGGAAGTCCTGGGGCTGGAAAATTATCCACAGCTTTAAAGCAGGACCTCAGGGCTCCTGTGCAGGCTTTCAAACTGCCTCATTAGTTAGAAAGAAACAGGGGCTGGGGAGAGGAAAAGAAGCAATTATTTGTAAGATTCATATATGATATTTGTGTGTACATGTATATATTCAAATATGCACATATACATATGTATTCCATTTTTGAGACGTCTGCTTACTTTGTTTTTGGAGAAAACACAGCAGAAAAATCAAAAACGGTTTCTCACATAGAGTAAAGGAGAACGCAGGGGGGTTGGCTTACAGATTCCAAGGCCTGCTTCTGAACCGTGTGCACACTTGTGTGTGTGCGTGTGAACATTTGGCAGAAAAGACGCATGTTTGTGTCAGAGTAGGGAAGTGGGTAGCAAGGCGTCTGCTTTACCAACCGCTGGACTGGGAAGCTTCTCCCAGTTTTAGTAGGGTGCCAACATCCCTCTGCCCTTTAATTTCGAGGCCGTTTATTGCATTCGTTTATTACTTGCTTGACTTTATGATGGCGCTGTGGTCAGGCACATTATTAGCCTGGAAATGCCTGTGACATTGGCATTGGGTTTGAGATGACTAGAAGAAACCTTTCCTTGCCCCTTTTCCCTTCAAAACTTAAGTAGAAGCTGAATATATGAATTGTAAATTAACCACTGATTAATATGCATTGGCAGCTCCTCAGAAAGCTCTCAGATTGCCCCCTTTTGGCATGGTCTGTTTATGTTAATTAGCAGTTTAGAGATTAAAAAGAAAGAAGAATTTACAAAGTGGATAATAATAAGAATTGGAAGGCGTCCTTGTCACCAAGCCCCATCAGTCCCCAGGGTTCTGGATGGGATTTGGCTTTCGATCGCTGACACCAATTGTCTGGGAGAACTGGGAAACCTTTTAAAAACAATTCCATGAGTGAAATCTCCTCTGGACAGAGGCAATCTTTTTCAGTATCTCAAAGATCACATGGACCCAGTGGATAAATTGGGGCTTTATGGTCAACTATAATCCAGGGTAAAGGATCATTTCTAGCTGCCCAAGTGCATCCTGGGACTCATATGATGCTCTTGTATCTGAATGTAGGGACTAGAATTCAAACTGACTTAATCCTAGGACTTCCTTTTCCCCAGTCCATTGAATACCACTGAGTTGTGTGGCCATGGCTTGAGTCTCAGAGAAGGACTGAACTTGAAATCGTGTTAACGTGCTAACCCAGGAGCCTGGATGCCTCGGGATAGTGTTGGGGATGTGAAATTAAAAAGAGAGGCCCTAAATACAGCAGGCACAAAACTCCTTTTGGGATTTTTCAGAGTGTATATAGAAGGGAAGTTCCTGGGTATGCGGTAAATGCAACATGTCAATGTTAAGATGCTGCAGACCCTTGACCTTCAATTAACGGTAAGTCTGTTCCATTGCTTTGGAAGGGAACACTCTTTTTTTTTTTCCTATTTCCCCTTTTTCCTTTCCTTGAGGAAGAGAGTTCAGATGGAACTGTCTTGAATTTAATGAGCTGGAATAAGGAATGCTTCTTAGGCTCTACAACACCTGGCTTCTAATGTCCCTGCTGGCCTGGGTCTGTAGCCCATACCTATGCTCCATCACTGGCTACAAGGGCTGTCTGTTACAACCATTTTTGTTCCCAGTGACTCGATCGTGACGAGAACAATTTACAGGAGATACCCAAGTCAACCTATTTTTCTCAGGTTCGATGTTTAACCGTTTGTTCTGACCAGCCTTTTTTTGCGCTGTGACATAAGTATAATCTCACTTTACTACCAAAGAAGGAGCTGCCACGCTTCCTAAGAGGTGGGCACTGAGCCCTTACTGGAATGTTCTGGAATGAATACCCACAAAGGCTGTTCTCAGTCAATAGCCATTGGAAAGTTATTAACTCAGGATGAAGAGTTTCACTTCACAGTGGGCAGCCCAGGACAGGGCATGACTGGCTATGTGACTGGCCATCAGAGCACTGCCATCCTAGTTCAAGGACTGCAGCTTTCACCGGGACCACTAATTTCCCATCTCTGTCCCCTGGGACCCTTCTGCAGGAAGTGGGGAGGGCTGCTGGCCTTTCTCATGAGGTTGTTTCCGGGACCCAGCAAACCAAAAGTTATGAAGTTACGACTACATCATTTACTTGTATGGACATGCCAACAGGAGCAGCATTTGTGAAGGCTTTTATTGTTGTTGTTGTTGTGTAAGTGTCCAGTGTTGCTTCTTGTGACCAAATGTGTGCTGGGCTTGGGGCATTTTCATCACACTCATGACTTTTCACTGTATATTACAGAGATTGTCACCCACAGCTAAACTGTCAAGGAGTCTGGTACCTGTTGTTACTTTAGCTGCTCTGGTCCTGGGCTCACAGACATGTACAAACATTGTCTGTCTTCTTCCCATCATGAAATAACTCATCTCTTTAGAGTCAGGTAAGTCCCCAGAGGAACACCTCAGGATGGTACACCCCTCCCCCATGAGTTACATACCCCAAACCTGGTTGGAACTGTGGGAAATAGGTTGACTTGGGCATCTCCTATGAATTGTTCTCATCACAGTTCCACACCTTGTTGGAATCACCATGGACATCCTAAAGACACTTGCCTAACCTCTCCCCTGGAAGAGGGCACATAAAACCAGAGGAGGCTGTGGAACAGCTGAAACATGGGCAGGGTAACAACAAAAGCCCAGATCCACGTGGCCCTTGTCCAAACGGCATTCTTATAATTCCACTCTGCCTTAGGATATAAGTATGTCCAGATGTCATATCCCAAGGGATGAGTAGAGCTTATTCTATTATTACTGTTAAATACAACATACTTATGAAACATACACAGTGTTGTATTTTCCTGGTCATCACTACCGCTCTATCAAAATAATAACAAATATTCACTACAAAAATATAGATAGGCCTAATAGACGCACACTGTATAATACATGTTAGTACATCCAAGTTCGTTAAACAACTTCCAAGTGACAGGGTTCTCTACTATGTACTAGGATAAATATTTGCATATATGTTCAAGAGACACAGTGGATTATTTGAGTTTTAAACTCCAAAATATGCAACTATTCCTCCAAAAACCCACATAAGGTTAAACAGACATAGAAAATCCCAAAAAGGTTAAACAGAGAAAATCTTGAAAGAATGATTGCTTGACAAATCCAATTTAGCTTTTAGTTTAAATAGTACAGTTAGGAACCTCGAGTCCTTGGAAAGAGACACTGCTGGTGAGTGGGGACTGGAATCTTCAGGTCCTCTGAAGATGTGAGTGAGGAAGGTCTCTTACCGAGCAGCAACGTAGAGAGTTCTGTTCATGACCATGATCATCTGGATGTCCAGTCTGTGCCTCTGTGTGGTGTTCCGTCCTGGCTTGTGGCCCACAAACACCGGATACTGTTTTGTATCTGTGAAAAGAGGAGATGTGGTAAGAGAGGGAAATGTAGATCAAGCCAAGAATCAACGGGGTAGTGTGAGGAGGGGGTGGGCCACGGAACAAAACCATGTTTAATTCAGACCATGCCATCATTTCCCATCTCTGGCAAAGCTGTTGTTTCTGGGAACTACGTGAAAGTGCCCCTTCAGGATGATCGAGTTACACTCCAATTCCAAATGATAATAAACCTGGTCATAACATTCCTAAGTGTCACCATTTCTGAGGGTTAAACTTGCTGGTCAACCCTTTGCATGGAGGTGGTGCTCTTTTCTTCCCTAGATTTCTTTTCATCTTCTGTGGAGTGCTAAGCCTGAGGGGGGGCAGGCTGCCAAAGATCTTGTCTCCGGACAAAACTATTTCAAAGCTGCCTTCCCCATCAATCACCACAAAGGCAATGTGGTCTGGAGGCGAGAGCCTTCATCCAGGAGCCAGAAGAAAAATACAGTCTCCACAGGCGCCCGGGTGGAATAATCTACCATTGAGGGCAGCCCGGCTAAGTTGGTTGGCATTCTAGGAACTGTGGGAAGTGCACTCTGGAGCTAAGCAATTGGCTAATCTCACAGAAAAGTGAGCTTTGACAGGAGAGGGCCAAAGTAAGCGTAGCCAGTCGGCTGATCTGGCATAGTCCACGAGCACATTTCTTTCCTCTAGTGCTCTTTGGCTGAGTCTGTGATGTGTAATAATATCTGACCTTTAGAAATACCTGTATCTCAACATCTCTCTGTTTCTAAACCTATAGTCTCCAGAGCATTGGCAATCCTCCAAGAAGAGGAAAGAAAGATGAGTCACATTCAAAAGGCCATGTTTTCTGGTGAGTTATGGGGGTCTAACTATGAGTGGGAAACCATTCACAGATTCATGCCTGGATGACTACACTTTAACCTTGTGGCATCTGGGCTTTCTCACAGCAGTGTTACTAGAGAGCTTCCATATATTTAACTCCCAAACAAGGCTGGTGTACAATTATCTTAAGCTTTTCCTTCAATGTTTCTTTAATTTCATATACGTGGTCATCATGGGGGTTGCTATGGTAACTCCCACATCTGTTATCATGTTATTGTGTGACCGTTGATGATCGTCAACAGCATACTCAGGCTGGGGTCCCTGTTGTAGTGGGACACCAAAGATCGAAATCTTATTTTGATTGAAGATAAATGCATGGTTATTTGGTTCCCAATCCTAAGTGTGGGGAGCTTGGCTATTTCCGAAGTGATAGCATTGACCTTTGACCCTTTGTCCTTTCATTGTTATATATTCAAGTCTTGGCTCCTCATTTTTGCATATAAAATTATCTCCTTCTTCAGAAATTCCAGCTGGAAGCTGAGCACTGGTGGAGTTACTGAATATCCTTTTGGTATGTTTCACCTGTCAGTGTTTGGTTTGGGATAACTACATGGAAAATGGTACTTGGGGAAGTACCTTTGCCTTTGCTGGAATACACTGGTCTTTTGGAGGGCAGACAATAAAATAAGAAATTGGATGTGCTTTCTTAAACAGAGTAAGACTTTCCTTTGAGGGAGTCATCCAAAGTTTTAACTATGTCAGCATCTACTTCTGACAAAAGTGGACTAAATCTTCTACAAATTCAAAGCCAGTCCTTCCCTGAGACTAGCAAACTTGTAAGGCTTTTTTTTAAAGTCTTTTTTTTTCTCTTAAGTATTTCAAAACACCTGTTGTTATTTTTTATGATGTTTTATAGCATTTCAGGTTACAGATGGAAACACATAACACTCTCAGTCCTCTGGTAAATGAGGGCAGTCGTCCCCCCCCGTAGCTGGGGTGAGAGCAGGAGCAGGTCTCTGTGTGTAGGGGGAGACTCCATTGGGCGGGCAGCTGGAGAGGAATTTCAAAGACTTGGAGGTGTTGCTACAACACTTGATGAAGCTCTCAACAGTGACCCATGTGACTCCACCCATCTGGCCACATGTGAGTGACCTGCCTCTGTCGGGAGTGCACTTTGCAGCTACTGGGCCTCCTCCCTGCTTCCTTTTCACTTTTGGTTAGACTGGTGCAGGCTGGTGTCCTCAAAAGTCAGTGCCAGTGCGTGAGTGTGTGATACTTACAGTTGCCATGCGAAATACTGATTGGCTCAGAGTCTTCTGGGAAACCAGCCCCAGCGCTGTGCAGCAGTGTGAGACATAGCAGCAAGGCTTCTGGCCTCATAGTAGTTCAGCGGGGAGACGTATTTCTCTACTTCACCCTGCCAAAGAGCAAAGGAGGCTGCTTAGTTTTCGGGGTCACCCCCTTCTTTTTACATAAACCACAGAGTTTATTAAAGGGGGAAGGGAAGAAAGAGACAGAGGGGAGAGAGAGGGGGGGGTTAGAGGAAGGGATATAGAAGAGCAAGAGGAGAGGGGAGTGCAAAAATGAACCCCTTTTTTCTTTTGCAAGTCAGCTTCATTCAGCTCCAGAAAGTGCAATGGTCTTGAACATAATTCGAGACAACAGGCTTCTGTGCTCTGCCTGGCTCACAGTGAATTCACAGATTACAGCATTTTACATAAAGACAGTGCCCAGTAGCCGTTGTGCCCAACGTCACCCTGGTACCACACACTTTTTGTAAAAAGCCTTACTTCCTTTGACTCAGCCGTTACAGGCCATTGTGACTACAATCTCACGATTATGAAACTCTGGATTCCAAAATGTATGAACAATTGAAAGCATTATTTTTTCCCCTTTTCCTTTACAGAGGTCAAAAATTGCCATCTCCACGTGTGGTTTTTGTTTATTTGTTGTTTTGACCAGCCAAGAATGTCTCAGAAATGTGATGGCATTGTCAGTAGTGAAGAATGCTGATAACTGATGATAATCTAGAATTCCAACTTTAAAATATATGTTATTCTGTGATCCAAGGACAGTATAGTATACCTCTGCCTCCAGCATGCCACACATATACTCATAAAACACACAACTGACCCTATTTTCTTATTTCCTATGGAACCCCTTACTTAGTTGAGTTGAGATTTTTCAACTCTTGTCTATGTCATTTTACAGTGACCTTAGACCTAAATAAAAATTACACAATCTATTTTATTTTAATAAAATATGATCATATTATTTTCCTTCTTGCCTTTTCTCCCTCAAACCCTTCCCATGCCCCTCTTACTCTCCATCAACCTCTCTTTTCTTTGCTAGACACACATATTCATATAAACATAGAAATATAGAAATACAACCTGCTGGTCTGATTGGTGTCACTCTATATTAGGGGGCTCGTCCCTGGAGAAGACTAATTCTCACACTCTCTCTCATCAATGGCGAGTTGCCTGTAGTTCTTTGTCAGGGTGGGGGTACACAAATCTATTTTCAAAAAGAAGTACACCATTTCCAGTTCTGTCAAGAGAATCTGAACTGGCATCTTGGAAGAGCCTCGCTGGCTTTTTAAAGAGAATCATATCTCTGCACATTTGCTCTGCAATGATATTGTTCTGCTCAGCTGTCTTCTGTTCGAGCAGCTTTCATTTGTAGAAAGATTCTTCTACAGTTTAGATATAAAAGTCCCAGGGAGCTGCAGGATACAGTGAACATAGCCTCATGCTACAGTAAATACCACAACGTTCTCAGGAGTATTTCAAATAAGCGTTGATGTGTCGGGGAAATTAACGTAAAATAGGGAATCATTTCATCTTTCTAGAGTATCATTCTTTGAAGCAGCCTGCCAAAGATTATCTTTTCTGAACAAAGCTATTCTAAAGCAGCCCATCAATCATTTAAGATTTGTGTTTAGAAATGTCAAACCTAGTAACCTAAATGTCTTTGAAAATTAATTTGGCAAACAAACTGCTAACTTACATTTTGTGGAACACCACTTACTATTAGATACCTATGCCTCTTTTCTTCATGCCAAAAAAAGCATTAACAAGTCCCGGGTGCACTGTAGGTTATAATTTCACAGACACAGCTGGGTCTTAATCATTTCTTCAACTGAAAAGTGCACATTAATTAATTTGCTTTATCTCAAAAGAAATCAAAGAGGGACAGAAGTTGAGAGAAGAACCTAAACAGTTCTATATCACTATCTCTGATGTAAAGATTAAAACTGAACTTTGAATGATTACTTGTTTGAAAAAAAGCAATCCTTTACCAAGAAACATAGCATGTATTTACAGGACGGTTAACAACAGGTCTATTCATTCCCTTCTTTGCCAGTACTGCCTAATCTGGGGCGTGTGAACACAAAGAAAAGAAGCTCTGGGGTCCCCCACTTGCTTCTCAGGAGCCCTGCTCGGTATGGCATTAAGGGGGGAGCAATCGGTAACAAGAGCTACTAAAACACAAACACAACGCGCATCGGCGGTTACATTTTGTGTGAGAAAACATAAGGCAAGCAGCAGCATTACCAGGGCAGAATTACAGCATGACAGCATGGGACAAGAGGAAAGGAGACTTAGAAGGCAGAGCCGCCTCCCCTTAGAATGTTGGGAAATAGGTAATATATGCTTTTTAAAGATTTTTTTTCTTGACATGACTAGTAAGCCTCTACCTTTCCACAACTGCATTCACCCTGCACAAATGTCCACAAGCTCATGACAAAGGCCCGCTTTTTTCTTCTTTAATATATCTTAATTCTTTTCTGCCTTAGGGCAAAATACTCAAGCCCTGAAACTGGCTGGAAGAACAAAACTGAGAAATCTGCTATGCAGTTCTACCACTTCTTTTAATGCTCACATAGAGTCAGCATCACAACTCAGATACATCACCAATGTTTACCACCGGTTTACAGTCGGGCTCTCTGCCAGCAAAGAATAGTTGTTTTCTATCTTCTGGCCGTCGGGTGGTCAACGAGTTCATCCCAAGGATGAAAGTGGTTAAAGTTAGCCAGCCTTGTGGGACCAGTGTCTACACACATAAATGAGAGTATGCTGCTTGAGTTAAGACCGCATGGGGCTGCTCCACTCACTGTCTGCCAGTCCAGCTGTAGGAAATATGTGAACACTATTGGACCTGACCGTACAGGTACAACTTTTGTCTGGTTTGCTACACACAATGCAATCTTCCAGCATGTTCACACTCAAAGTGTAAGTGGCAAAGATGTGGAAGATAGTTGGAAACCCTAGTGGTAGCTTTGAATAGAGAGAGGAAATGATAGTAGTAGTGGGGCGTTTTCCTCACGAGCCAAGTTAATTGCCATGAAGGTTCAGCAATCCCTTTAAAAAACACATCTTCTACTGACATCATAGGAAGTTTTAACGATAATCGATAATTCACACTGTCATTATTAGAAGGAAGGTCACGCTGGTAGTGTGACTCTAGGCGACTCAGTCAGGCTGGCTGGCTCTCAGTTTTGTCATCTGTAAAATGAAAGGACAGGAAACGTGATGGATTCTAAAAGCCCTCAAGGTTGAGGCTGTGCTCTTGTGAAGCTGGGGAGGAAGGAAAGAAGGGAGAAGAGGGGAGAAAGCAGGACAAGGATGTGTAGCACAGGGAGCGACACTGGGTCAGGCCACCGACCAGGAGGGAGAACGAGCAGTCAGAGGAGCAACAATGAGCCCAAACCTAGACGAGGTCCTAAGATGGGGACAAGAGCCAGACTCGCCAGGCAGAAAAGTTCCAAGTACCTGGGAAGTCTGCTCGCCAAGTCAGTCATGGAACAGGACTCCTCCCTTCCTCCAGTTCCTCCAGACTGTCCCCAGTGTGTGGAGAGAGAACTGTAGAGACAATCTGCATGCCCGTGTGTGGTACTGTGTGTGATGAACAGGAGGGGTGGGGGAAAAATCCTTCTAGCAACAAGCTAGTGCAACAGTTCTCAACCTGTAGGTCACGACCCCTTTGGGGTAGAAGGACTCTTTCACAGGGGTCACCTAAGAGCATCAGAAAACACAGCTATTTACATTATGATTCATAACAGTAGCACAATTACAGTTACGGAGTAGCAACAAGAACAACTCTATGGTTGGGGGTCACCACAACATGAGGAACTGTGTTAAAGGGTCGCAGCATTGGGAAGGTTGAGACCCACTGATCTAGTAGATGCCAATGGACACAGTGTAGAAGGCGGTGTTTACATTTCATCTTGGTGCCAATAACCGCCAGGATGCCGTGCTGCGTCATCTCAACATCAGGGTCAAGTGTGAGTCTGATAAACACTTCTAATGTGCCCAGAGACAGTGCTACTGTCAGCATTTAAACATATTCAGTGTTTAACTGCTATTTACACTGAGCATAATCACATAATTATGGCAATCCTGATGGACAGGCCTTACTGTGCCCATATAAGGAACTGAGGCCCAGGCAGGCAGGAGGCTAAGTTACATTTCTAGATAGCACACAGTAAACATTTACAGCACATTAGGAAGAAGCAGCAGCACAATAATCAAAACGGAGAGCTAGCTCTCAAACCCAGATCTGTGTGACTGCCTGCAATGTTTATGTCCTTCCTAGGACCTCAAGGAGGGGGGACAGAAAAGGGGAAGGGAAAGCATGAGTAGAAATTTCACTTAAGATAATAACCAAATACTGCCTGATGTATCTTTGCTTACATGGATAAAGTAGCTGAAAGTCCCTAATGGCATTAGTCATAAAAATCCATAAACTGAGCACACAGTCACTCTCAAACATGTAGGTACTCAGGTTCATTCCATTTTATGGGCCTGTGATCACAGGCCTAGGGTGAAGGGAAGATGCAAATGCTTCTCCACCGCTGATTTAGGAGGAATTGATTATGTCAGGACACCACCGTGTTAAGTGGGGCCACTCAGAGCCCCTCCTTCTTGCCTCCCTTGATGGTGATGTTTTAAAGTCAGATGCTTCAGAGAAAGTAGTGTCATTTGTTAAGGGCAAGAATGAGGCTGCCTGCACAGAGTGGATAGCTCTCGAGCCAGAGAGGAACCTACATCCACGGAGAGGTGGGGAAGCAGGTGTTTGTGCAGAAAACCCAGCTCACTGAACGCTAGAGACCTGCCAGAGATCGAAACTGCTGATTATTCTCATACTGCAAGAAAATGTAAAGAATTAATGGGTGTTTAGAGAGTAGGTGTCCTTCACTGACCTGGACAGCCCTGCTTCAAGGACTGCAGGCAGCAGGGGAAGGATGCTGCTGTCCACAGGATGTGCAGCTGGGTGAAGAAAGAACACTTCCCGAATGAAATTAGAAACAACTTGGGCCCATTGATTGTGGTAGAAATGGTCACAGTATGCAGGCTTCAGGGGACCATGAGCTAGAACCACATGCCCAGTGGTGTTTGCAGTAAGAGATAAGGG